ACGACGATGAACACTTTGATAACTCCGAGTAAACGCACTTGCATACATTTAGGCGCCAACGGTAGTGTAATAAGTATTGAATATGCTTGAGGGTGGTACTCAGCTAAATTAAATAAACATGTTTTTCATTCTCAAACACTCAAGTGCTAATATTACAATATGTTAAAGTATATAAAAAATTAGGACAAGGATTCTGCTAATTTTAAAGACTTAACAATTTTTAAACAACCATAACATATACATATGACAGCTGCGATCTTATAATTTAGGATGTTTAGGATTAAATCATGCATTTTAAATTTTGATAGCGAATTTGTGAGTAACTGGGACCAACAGGTTATTTGCAATCATCATAGCGGCGGCAGGAAGTGTGAGAATTTGGAAATATGCAGTGTAATGTATCAAACTACATTCAAGGATCACCCCAATACACACTCATACATATGTATCAATTCTCATTAAAGAACATGAGAGAGGTGGAAAGCGCAACGGTGCACTTGGACACGTACAAGCATATAAAAGGAAGGAAGGAAGGAAGCAAGCAAGCAAACGAAAGAAAATGTATGCATTAGCAGGCAACTCAAGCATGCAATTGGCAAAAAATACATGGTATATAGAGATGTGTGAAACGGAACGATATGCATATGTATGTATATGAATGGGAACGCATGAAAAGCAACAACAAAGCAACTACACGAACTCTGGAAAGTGCAAGTTGCACTAAAATGCTTATAAAATACCAGTAAAGCGCACACATTTCCATCGAAAAGGAATATAGGCATTAAAAAGATATTGCACAAGCAGGAAATTTGTGCTGAAACAACAAAAAAAAAACATACATACATTACATATCTAAGCACAAACAGCTAAGCAAACTACTAATGCAACTAACTTTTCGACACAATTGACCGCAGTAATGCTTATTTTCTCTGGCTCCTGGCATGCTTACAAAAATGTTGGCTTTGTACTTTTCTACGCCACTGTCCGTAGGCATCAAAGTACTATGCTTTAGTTGCCGACAAATCTGTTGCAAATACCCCAAAGGGCGACAAGCTGCTTGCATTCACTTACCGGCTTTCTGGTAGAATTTTAATTCAGTAAACCATACATGTGTACTTGCGTGCTAGTGTTAGTATATTTGTGTACGTGTTGGTTGGCAGAATTGTAATTAGCGAACAAAGGCAAATTGTTTGTTTCGTTTAAAGTCGGCAATATGGTAACGATACCAAAGAGATGCAACGCCGCACATACTTCGTGACATTACCAAAATAAATACAATGAACACGCTGCCATTTTACAATAGTTTGGCCAAAGCTGTGTGTGACAATAAGGAAAATCGCATTAATAGCACGCACACGCTTCACCCTCCTGCTGCTAGTAATCCATTTAAAGCACTACAGACAGTTTTAAGTGAATTTTCCAATTAGCAACTAGCTTGCACACCCGCTTACAGATAATTCCCGTTATTTTATGTATGTATATACATAGGTAAAGACAAATGCATGCCAAAACAAATAAATTGCAAAAATAAAAACAACAATGAAAATTGTTCGTATTGAATATTTTTCGCCCAAGCATAGTGGGAAATACGAGTATACTTATGTGTAAGAGCTTGGTAAATTGAATATATGAAGACAAAAATACTGATAGAAGAGGAAGTTCGCAGAGACTCTTGAAATAAAAATTTTCAAAAGCTTGCGTCTTAAATTTATTTTTTAGTTCCTTTGAAATTTTCATCAGCTGTGTTCAAATTTTGTATATGTAGAGAATGTGTGAGAACTCTGATATGACAAAGTGTCCGCAGGATTTTAGGAATTTCTATAATAAACAAGTAAGTAAGGGTCAAATATGGTAGAGTTTTTCTTTACTTAAATATTTAAAGTAGTAGAAAATTACCCACTTTGTGGAGGTATGAAATAATTTTCATTAGCCACGTCTTACACTACATATATTTATCCTATATATTATATTTTAATGCATATTACCACTTTTATGGCACTGAACATACATTTAAAATACATTCTATACATTGCTTGTTTAAGAAACGAGTTTTGTATTAAAAAAAAAAAACTCTAATGTATAGTTACGCCAGTCTGTGTAATTTATGCCTATTTTTGTTCGATTCGACACTCCCTGAGACTCGTTAAATAAAAAACACGCCCATAAGCTTCCAAAAACTGATTTTTCTAAATTATTTAATTTTTCGGAAATAACGATAACTTTAACATAATTCTACAATTACTCCACGCTAAGCCAGGTAGAGAACTTGAAATTACCCGCATTACTGTCTGCTTAAACCATGGACGAAGGCAAGCATATGAATTAAATTACGAATCACATTATGTATCGCCTTAAAATGGTTTCGGATATGTGATATATGGGTTATGTGTATTTAATTATTTCAGCGAGCCGCGAGTGAGTTTGAAGCCGATGAGCATTACAAATATTTGACATAACATTTCATGCTAAAAATAATGTACATTTAAACTCCAACAGTCCTAAAGAATTATCTTCTTACTAAAAAATTCTCAAATTTGTAGTGCAAATAAAGATACTAGGTAAGTTTTACACGAAAAGCTTGGCCTAATTATCTTTATGTTTAAGGTGTGTTGTACTTTCGTTTTATGTTGTACTTTTCGTCCCTTTCAGCAACATTTACTGATTTTTAATTTCCAAAGCCTTCCATTCACAGACGCACACCTTAGGGTTGGCTCAGGGTTTCCTCTGATCACCTTCAAGAAGAATACTTTGATAGCCGCAGCAACCGTCCCTAATGAGGATATGCTTATACCACGCCAACTTAACGACTATGGGAGGAACGTACTCTGAGGCCTGCCAGAATTTTAACGGGACGGGGGCATGTGCGACAATCGCCTGTGAGCCATTTCTGAAGGATGTCACTCCATCATATTTAGGTGGCAGAATGCCGCAACCACCAGACCAGGGTTTTACGAAAATCCTAAAAGAGCTAGTCATAATCATATTCAAATGCTGAGATCGAGTCCAGGAGTTGAAGGAACGTGAAGGCCGCGGGTTATTTAGAGTTACCTAGGATGCACCAGCTTGGTGGCGACCTGCAGTATATCCCAACTGGTGACTATGGTACACTCCTACCAGTATAACGAATAATCTTATTATACAATTTTGACATGGACGTCCCATTTTTAGAATATTACATTTGTATATGGAATATATTTTTTCGTTACAAAGTATAATATATAATTTTTTTATTCGTAAATATTTTATTATAATTTTTTGTTAGGTCAGATAGGATTTAGGCAGATTTCAGTTTTTCAATTTCTCAAATAAATATAAAAATGCATCTCTTTTTTTGGCACTAGTAAAACTATTATTTTAGGCCATCTAGAAATATTTTTACAAAATTACGGAACTTCTACCAGATATTCAGTTCTCGAAGTTCGAAAAACGCCGTTCACACTCTATCTCTCTCGCTGAGCTCTTCTTGCAGTTAAAGTTGTGTGTCAGAATACATCAGCACACAACGCTCTTTCATATCACCGCGAGCTTGACGTGCAGATGTAATAAAAATATATCTGTAAGGATGTATGTAAAACAAAGAACTGAATAGGAAAGCATGGCAACTATGGCGATGGCTTGTGCTGTAATAACTGGCGGCTGATAGCGACGGTTCAATGCGGAAGGAAGGATATATCAATTTTCTGCGCATTGCTGCTGTATTAATTGCATATTAAATTTCATTTGCAGCCAACACATATGCATACATACAAGTATATGTGTTTGTGTGTATGTGCCCACCTGCGGTCAAAGGTGTGTCAGGTAATTGTTTTAAAGCATATAAATTATATTTATTGTTAAAACTCTTTTGAAAATGAACGATAATTTTTCATTTAACGGTAATAAAGTTGATTTACCTTTTATTCGCTATATTATTGTGCCGCGATAGGACTTTCTGATTGCTGTATTGAAATGAGTAATTCTGTTTGCAAATTGATTGTGACCCCTTGTTACATCTACAATAAGTACGTAATTTAATGAAATTTCGGAAGCAATGACCATCACTTTGTTGTCACGTGGCAAATTAAGTAGCAATATAGCAACGACGTTCGAAACCTGGGGCTTGATAAACTTTACCTATTTTTTTTTTTGGAGCTAGAGACTTTTAGCTGCTTTAAATTTTGTTTGAACGAATATATAGTGGCCGTTCCCTCACTAAAGAAAAATATATGACCTCAGAAGCTCTTTTTAACATGTGGTCAGATCATTGCTTTATTAGCATTTATGCAACTATGAAATGGAGCTGAGGCAGTTTGCTACCTGGTGATGAACATAAACCAATTTTTGAGAGAATATATTGAGTGTTTCGTTGGCTGTATGGCATATAGCGTCGTGTTGTTGGAACAAAAGTTCGTCAACATCAAAATCTAATTCACAAAAAAGTCGCTAATCATGACTCTGTAACGTTGACTGTAATGCTATAGCCGGTTTCATTTTTGAAGAATTATGGACTAATGATTCCCACTACTCATAGAGCACACCAAACCGTGACTTTTTAAGAATGTAGAAGTGTCTTAACAATGGCTTGTAATGGCAAAGCCGTATACAATCCGTTTCGACGGTTTGAATTTCAAGCTTTCGAGGCGCCACTCAAAAAAAATTAATCAATTTTCTTGCAAACTTCTTTCCGAAACCACATTCTTTTAAAAGCCTCACAATTTTGTACTATTCATTAATCTGCATAAATTCGATTCCCTATATCTACAATATATATACATATAGATATATTAATATGTATGTACAATATATGAGAATGCGCGTATATCATCTTGGGCGCCTTTCAAACACATGCGATTAAAAGTGATTAATATTGTTTGGAAGGCAGACGTATAAAAACTACAACAATCACTTAACGGTATATGGCTATTCACATCCATAAACAAATATTTGAATATTTATATTAGTTTGTTTAGGAGCAAAAACTCATTAAAAACACCAAATACTAAGTTTAAACATAAACTAATGTATGCAAATTTACGAGTTTATTTTTGTATTTTTCAAGTTTTCAACTTAACTTCGTTATCGTTATTTTATTCGTTATTAATTTTCGTAAAACTAGTTAATCACTGATTTACATGCGTTGAGACGCTGTAGGGGAATTGTGCGAATAAATTAAGTCTTCTTAGATTGTTGACGAGTGAAGGTAGCACAAATGCGGTCCGCCCATTCACCGGAAGCCTTCACTTCACTTGAAATGCCGCGGGAATGGCGTCAGCGTGGGCAGCGGTCCGCGTGACGGACGACGCGTCGTCGGATGGTAAATGTATTCGAGATATTGCTGAAGGTGTTCAACGTTGACTTGTGTTGCTGCTGGCGCGCTGCGTTGCGCCGGCGGCGGTGTCACTTTTCTTAAGGCACCAGCAACTTGTGGCTTTTGGAACCGGTGTTGAGCTGGTGGCGAACGCGGCGCTTGCTTGGTTAGCTGTTGTTGTTGCTGTTGCAGCTTGTATTGTTGTTGTTTTTGTGGCTGCAGGTGTTTTTGTAACTCTTGATATTGTTGTGTTTGTGCCACTTGCACTTGCTGAAAGTGTTGCGTTGAAGCGGCTTGTTTGGGCTCCGACACCTTAACGGGCGCTTTCGTTGGTGCTGCAGGTGGAGCTCGAGTTGTAGTTGTTGTGGGCACTACTACTGTTTTCGGTGTTACTGGTGCCTCTGTTGCCTTCGACGCTACAGGTACTTCGGCTTGTGGCAAAGCGGGTGGTACCTCGGGGTTCAAATCTAATATTGGCACTGCTAGTTGTTGCTTTTGCAACTGCTGATCTAATTTATATTGTGTCTTTTTATGTTTTTGTATTGTGGCTGATTTTGTTGATTTCGCCGTTGTCACCTCTAGTGGTGCTCTCGTTGTAGTCGTTTTGCTAACTGGTGTCTCTGTGACCGGTGCTGCAGTTGTAGTTGTTGTTCTTGTTGTTGTTCTTTTTGTTGTTGTTGATGTTGTTTGGGCATCCTGGAACTCAGCATCGGACAGTGGCGGTAATAAATCATTGAATGGCACCAATAGCTCTTGTGGCAGCCCTTTGGTATCTATCGCAGCGGCGGCCAGACAACATGGTGCAAGACACAAGGCAAAACAACCAAAAGCTACAGCAACAGCAATGGCCAGAGATGGACTTACTATCTGCAACAAAGTAAACAAGAAAACATTACATTACATGTGCACACTGTGCGTAGATAATGGTTAACAGAGTGGCTGAAAGAGGCTCGGATCAATATGATCGGAGGCAAATATTCGTATAGCCATTGACTCAGTAGGAAATACGCTGAGGGATATTGAAATAAAAAAACCACAAGCGAGGTAAATTTATCAAATTTCGCCATATTTAAAAGTTAAAATATATTTTACATAATCATTTAGGTAAATTTACTAATAATTCAGAAATATACAAAAAAAAATGATTTTTTTGGAATACAAAACAAGAAAAAACGTTAACTTCGGTTACCCTTCAACGGACAAAACATGATCTTTAATCAGACTTTGATCAGTGGGCTTGAATAGCAGCTACAAACTATAGTGGTCCGATCTGCACAATATTTTCGGAAATTGTTATTTTACTAGCACTTTCCTGTCGGGTCTTTCAACTCCTGTCAGACTGCTCTAAGTGAGTTATGACAACGTTTTAATTACGAGCGTACCGAACACATGCAACTGAAGTCTTGAATGGGCACAAGCAACCAAAAACATAGGTCTACACGACTTGTTTACATGTGTGTTGCTACTATGTACATTTCTGTGCGTTTGTATGTAGTGTGTTTTTGCATCACTGAAGGAAAATGTGTGTTTTTGTAACATTTTCGACTGCCAACTGTGATTTATGGAGTGTGGCAGCGTTGAAATGACAAACAAAGTTTACAAAGAAAAGTGACTGCCGAGTGGCTGGGCAAAGCAAAGATTTTACATGCGTCGATGAAAAGGAAATTAAATATTGTTCCTTTCGGGTACATCAGACCTTGCGAAATTTTTATACCCGGAACAGGGCATATTAAGTTTGCCACCAAGTTTGCAACATCTATAAGTCCTTCGACAACGCTATAAAATATATTGGTATGAATTCATGTTTAGCACGATGAGCTGAGTCAATTTAGACATGTTCGTCTGGTATACGCGATTTTCGAGATATCGATCTGAAATTTGCACACGTCCTTTTCTCCTCAAGAAACTGCTCATATGTCGGCCGATATCGAATCACTATCGCATATAGCTGGCATACAAACTAAACGATCAAATACTTTTTCATTTGGCATGTATTATTATCTAAGCTAATGGTGTAATCTACGAAGAAATTGTTAACATCGGAAAACTATAGCATATAGCTTCCATACAAATTGATTGATCAAGCGCCAGTCTTTATGTCAAAATTTTGTTTTTAACTAGATATCTTCCCGAATTTTAGCATGGCTTATTATCCACAACAACCGTACAATCTCTGGAGAAATTGTTCAGATCGAAGCACTATGGCCTATAGCTGGCATCGCTACAATCTGCAAACATATTGTTCAAATCGGTTCGCTATAGCATATAACTGTCATACAAGCTGACCGACCGAGGTCACGATAAAGAACTTTTCATCTTCTTCTATGCTATATGAAATGTATCTGTGAAGGGTATAATAGCTTGGGTGCATGCGAAGTTAATATTGTTGTTGTTTTTGTTTTTGTGTAGGGCGCTTGTTTTAATTTTTTGTACTTTTTGGGGTTACTTATTTTGCTTTTGGGACTGTGTTGTTTGATTTGTTGGTGAACGAGTGCAGACACTTCCTTCCTTGTTTTTTGCGAAAATACGAGTATACGTATTTAGCAAACATGTTTCACTGTCGCTTAGATTTCGCTTATGTGCGTTAATTATGTTTTTTTTTTTTTTGCAAGTTTTTTCAGTTTCTTTTTTTCTTAAATTTTTACTTTCAGCTCGAAACGTGTATCCACCAAACACTACTCACTTTTGGGCAACTCATGATGTCAGCTGAATATTTTAATAAGCGTTTAAGCTTTCACGACGTTATCTCGCTTTAAAACTGTTCCTACAACAGTGTTTGCTTTTGTTTCAATAAAGACTCGTACTCGAACTGCTTTGTTCGACCAGCGCGTATGCAAATTTGGAAGCAACTAAAACTTCGTACGCTTGCAACGGTTGCTTTTATAACGCCAGACTAGTTGTCGGAAAAGGTAAACATATAATACTGATTAAAGATGGTGGGAGAGAAAAATATGTTTGTCTAGTTTATTTTTATTCTAACCTTTTTAATTTTTCTAATTCTCTCTGTGTTTATGGCGTTAAAACAAAGCATTTGCAGCTATATTTACGACATAAATTATGTCAGATACTGAATATTTAGTCCAAATTTAAATATATTTGTGAAAATAACAACAAGAACAAACATCAGAAAAAGTTAGCATGCAAATATAAAAATAATAGCCCTGAACTTGCATATAGCAACGATCATCGCTGTTAATTATTGAGCAGCTTAGACTAACATAGTCAAAAGCGATGCTGTATCTCTCCGCTCACTTTAATTAATTAAGTGCAAGAGTTTAATAACCGGATTAAGTTGAAGACCGGACAAACAAATAAAATCGCCACAGTGACGGCATTGTGTTGTGTGCCTAGGCAAATAGCTCGCCTGTTTGGCCAGCTGTTAACTCTAAGCTGAGCGATGCGATGCAAGTAAGGCTACTCAACAGCCCTATTTTAATTGATTCGAAAACTTCGATATAATCATTCAAGCTATCAAGGGTGAGAATAAGTGTATGTAGCTCTCAGCAGCAGTTTTGCAGCATGAAATTCAAATTAAGTTAAGCGATAAATATTTATTTACAAATACACTTACTATATATAATATTATAGATATACATATATCTATTACTGAAAACAAATATTTTGCGCTAAACTTTTATGATAGCATCACTGTTGCTTAAGTGGTGTTTAAATTAAAATGTTGAAACCGTTACTATGATAGGAAGATAGATGAAGGTCACTGCTTTTGCTATATTTAACCCTAAGTCACAGATTTTTTAACTAAGAGACGAAATTCAATATTCTTTTCAACTAAGCAAAAAAAAACTTTTACTGCCAGATAAAAAATAAATCACATTACTTATATAGCGATTTCACATCTCAGAACTTCTGCATATTGCGGCACATGCTTCGGTCTGTATTTGACAAGAATAAGAGGTTGCCTCATTTGGATTCCATATTTTTGACGAATGTAATATCGAATACGTTTTATGTTTGGTAAGAAACGGCAAGCCAGGTCCTTTCTTTCTCTCTCTCTCTTTTCCCCTAAAGCATACGCTTGAAACATTACGACAGCGTCTATGAAATAGAAATAACATATATGATGCTAGAATACTCTTCACAAGTAAGGATGTTTCCATACAAAAACTTGATCTTAATCGTTCAGCTTTTTGATATACAAGTATGGTAGAGATTCGATCGACAGAATTTCTTCAGATATTGCAGCGTTGTCGTCCAAATTTCGGAAGATATCCCACAAATTAAGAAATTTCGCATACAAGAAATTATTTTTGATCATTCAGTCATAAGCTAAACAATTTTTTCAGATGTAGTAGCGTTGCCTTAGAAAATAATATATGTAAAATTTAGTGAAGATCTCTCGTCAAATGAAAAAGTTTTACATTTAAGAACTTGATTTTGATCGTTTAGTTTATATGGCAGCCAGATGCTATAGTGGTTCGATCTGTACAATTTCTGCAGATAGTGTAGCGTTGTTTCAAAAAGTAATATATACATACAATATTTCGTGAAAATATCTTGCCAAATATAGACGTTTTTCATACAAGAACTTGAATTTAATCGATTAGTTTGTGTGATCCGATATCGGTGATACCAACAAAGAGCAGCTTCTTGGAAAGAATAGGCCGTATGCAAAATTTCAAAGCAATATCTTAAAGACTGAGGGACTATAAAAAGTGCAGACATATTTATTTTATTACGGTATATTTATAAGCATCATTATACATATTAAAGTATTTTTAATACAATATATTCACCCGCGCAACAAAATGAAACTTTCTTTATATTTATTTAGTTACCGGTATTGAAAAAACCTCAAATGAATTTGTATTCATTTGTATTTTTGCACATTTATTATACTTAATAACATGTTATATTTACTTTGAAATTTATTATAATTTCCAGAATTGTGCATTTCCATAAGATTCGTCAGTGTTCCATTGTTGAAACTCAAACGAGTTATAACCAAATGCCAAGTCCGCGCCAAACGGGCCATATCGGAAACTATATTAAATTTTAACTATATTAATTTACAAAAAATTAAGTAAGTAAAGCCTAAGTTCGGGTGTAACCGAACATTTTCTGCTCTTGCAACTTACAAGAATTAAAGCCCGTAAATTTCCTTCAGGTGCTGACAAACTTTACATTAAAAAATGTTGCGAAAGAATTAAAAATCCATTATTCGACGAAATCGTGGAAAAATTTACAAACAAATTTGGTATCTTCTTGATTTATATTGAAGGTCATACACTTAGGCTTAGTTTGATTGCTATATATTTTAATTCATGTCAGCTGGAACTATATTAAAAACACCTTCAAATGAGATATATTATATGTACATGATATTAACTCGATCTAAGAAGTTAGAGTAACGAAAATCATAATAAGTAGTATATGGAAGGGTTTCATTAAAGTACCTCAGATACCATCATACGGAGTAAAGTCAGCTAAATGTTCGAAGATCCTGATGTTAGTTTTATGGGGGCTATGTCAAGCTTTCGATACACTGTTATGAGTAAAATATAAAGTCACTCGGAAGTTCGAAAATCTTTGTATTATGTATATGGGAGCTAAGGGAAGTATTGACCCGATTCAACACATTTTTGATGTACAGACATACAATTATTAGAAAAGGATTATCTATGAATTTCAATTATATACCTCATACAGTGGCCGATATTTTCTTTAAAAAGTCAACTATAGGCACTGGGGTCCACATATTCCGTACGTATGGACTTGAACTGTATTGGTTCGACTTTGATAATTTTTGGTCATAAGGTGGCACACTTTAGAGGGATTGATGCTTTATTTGTTCACTGGAATGTGAAAGAATCAGATGAAATTTAAAATTGTGTTATATGGGAAGTAAGCGAATTTGTGATCCAATTTCCTATATATATATATAGTAAGAGTGTTATGTAACGACTTTGGTTGAAGTCGGTCGAGCAGATACCAAGATATAGGTTTGCCCTAAAGGTGGGCGGTGGCAGGCCGCTTGTACAATTTTGTTTTGAATCCAATAAGGATTAATAATAATCCTATGTATAAAATTTAACGTCTCTGACTGGTTCTTTTAATGAGTTATCGAACTTTTAGTAGTTTTAATCAACACCCGATTGGTGCGTTTTCACACACATATACAACATTGTGGTATATTATGCCAGCATTAGACTAACACAAAGCCACATCGTGCAAAGGGAAGCCATAAAATATAAGGCACTTAAAATACAGGAACCTTCTAAAACAAAATTATCTTCCAACATATGCAAAAAGTGGCGAAAGATGAAGAGTAAACTAGAATAACAGCCACATAGAATGTGAATTTTAAGATGAGAAGAGTTTCAAAAAATAATTTGAGTGCGTTAATACAAACAAACATTTTATTTTTTTTTCAACTAACAAACAAATAATATCAACTGCACAAAATCATATGATATCGAAAAGCATTCTAAAGAAGTTTAAATGGAAATTGCATTAATTGCACAGGTAAAATAAAAGTCAAGATCAATTTAGCCAAACATATTGTACATATATCAACGCGCTTGCACACACACTTTTTTGTCACTTCTCATGTCAAAGACTTATTGCAAATGACTTATCGCCAAACAAAAAAAACACCAGTCACTATTTTGTGTTAATTTATTTTCAGCTTCATTACAATAGCACCTCAAATTAATATCATTATTTTTTCATTTAATTTTGAATTTTTGCATTAATACTGAAAATTTCTATCAATCGTAAATTATTTACGATTTTGTATCACATTAAGGGTGGCTTTAGGGTTGGTGTAGTTATATCATCAGCATACCCACTAATATGCCAATGCAATATGAGCTTAGATAACTACATATTTCGCAGCGGCAACACTGAAACTCTAACCAAACACATGTTCATAATTTTGAAATGCGCAAATGTCAGTAGCACTTTACTTTAATGCCAGTCAATGTCAGAAATCAATAGGATCGACATACTTCATGCTATAGTTTGGCAAGAACATATACAAGCAACAACAGCAGTTGCAGCAATATGTGAGTATAAAGTTTAGGTTTAACTTAGCTGACCATTCATTCCGATTTGGCCAAGACAGTCCGTATTCCGAGTTAAGCGTTCTGGTCGTCCCGGGCTTAGAAATTAAAAAAAAAAACATAATGTATTTGATAAAATTGTGTTGCTCTCTCACCTATTATATGTCGCGATTTTCAGTGCATTATAATATGGAAAAAATCGATGACTAAAACAAAACGTCTCGAATTTTGCCGGGACAAATATGGTCACCTATGGTTAAACATAACATTATTTGATAGACAGACATAAGCTGTCGAATTTGCTATTTACTTTAATTGAACGAAAAGAGAACACCGCTTGAATTGAGAGTATATATAAAGCAACAATATGAAAACTCTTAAACGCAGTTAGTTAAAAAGTAATCGCCTTAAAAAATATGTGTCTACTTTCTACACATTTGGGGCGCTTAAAAAAGTAACAGTCGATATATCTAAAGTTCTAAGTTAGTACTAACTTTGCTATGACATTTGTAACACCCATAAGGAAGCATTGGAGACCCCATAAAAAATGTACATGTCCCCCAAGAAGCTGCATAATTGTTAAAATCGCCTATATCGGACCATTATAGCATATAGATGCCACACAAACTCAAGGATCCAAATTAAGTTATTGTATGAAAATCTTGTTTACTTGACGAGATATCTATACGACATTTGACATTAATTATTGTTTAAGGTAACGCCATAATATTTGAAGAACCTATTTAGATTGGACCACTATATCATATAGCTGCCATACAAACGGCTATTTTGAACGTTAATCATGTCCTTGTGTGGAGA